ATTACCTTGTAACATGGAAGCTTCGACTGATTTCTGTAGAGAAATAAAGACGACTGAGAAGTCATGCGAATCGAGAGCGATTACATTTAGATCTTGGGATCTGATATTGAATACCCGACAGTTTCAAGCTCGTGAGAACGGGTAACCGCGACACAGAAATTGCATAAACTGCCATCGAGTCTCGCATAATTTACAGGTTCTACCTATTAATTCGCATACTTTGGAAGCCATCGAATCACAATCAGTTTATCGGCTCGCGTAATTTCAAAACCATGTATGGCTATCAGAATAAATTGTAATACCATCATTGCTAATATCATTTAACTTGCCAACAAATCAGTAAAATAATTTATATTAAAAATACAGGAACTTTGTTAAAAAATAAATTTCGTTGCACCGAGGCTGTTTATCGATTCTCATCGCGACGGAAACACCTGCTGTGGCGAATGATCGAGCACAAAAACATTTGTTGGAAAACGATCGCTAAAAAGAGATGAATAAATTATTGTGGAAGAGGACACCGGCGTGGCGCTTGCGTGGAGATAAATGTTCAGGACGGGCGTAGATTGCTATCTTTGCCACTACATTTTGATGCAACGTGCGCACGGGTTAAGTATCAGTGTTTATGAACGACTTTTGACGTCAGAATCGAAGTAGGTCGGACACTGAAAGCTGTCGCACGCTCGACGAAAGAGTCACGGACGTAACCATGTTCGCCGGTTTTATACGATGGATTGACAATTTTTTCTCACGTCCATGTCCCACAATTGTTCGCAGACTTAGGTCAGTTTACTTCTGCAGACATCAAACAGGCAGAACTAAAATAAATATACGATATAAAAAAAGTTTATATCACATTTTCTGCAGATGAATCAGTAGAAACCTCTAAGAAATGTCAAAACGACTGTTGCTTCTTGCATTGGATAGAATGAAATAAATTGCATATTATGAAGAACGAAAATGTCAAGAACGTTCATTCACTCGATAGTAATGATATTATTATCACATATTTTAAATAACTGACAATTTCCGAGTGCGCTAATCTCCAGTGGGTTGTTAATAATGAATGAAATACTTAAACGAGGAGAATGCAGTTTGGTATTGTATTGGAATCATTCTCAGAATTTCTCTTCTGATTTAAATGGAAGCGTATATTTATAATGTTTGCGATGGTATTTGAAACGCAAGTCACCCTCGCGACTCTTAAATGATTTCGCTTTCTCCGATGCCAACCACCGCGAAACGTACTTCCTCCTTCTACAGCTGGGAGCGAAAAATAGAAGTGAACAAATCACGAGAGGGTGATAGACCCGCGAACGAGAGCACTCTGAGTTGTGTACCTATTTTTATGACGATATTACGTTTGTAAGAAAGACGAGAGGGAGATATCGAAGTAGGAGGCACAGGAAGCGGTCTATCTAGTGAATACTGAACTTTGATTGAAACGAGTGCGATACTGAATCTTACACGACAGAGATTTTATTGCCTGCGTCGAGAGTCGATAAGATACTTGACAAGAATTTTTATGGGATCGACGTCCATTTGTGTATGTCTAATTAAGCTAGAAAACGTGATGTAAAGAAAAGCATGAGAGTCTTCGTAGATTTAAACAAATTCAGTCAACTAATTACAGTAGAACCCCAATTTTTGGAACACTCATTATTGAAACGTTCTTTTATCAAAAGTGTTAGTTCAGTTCTTTATTCTGCCTTAAATTCTTTCTTCTTTATGTTCCTGATGTGAATGTATGTAATATTGTATATTCTACACAATGTTTTTTTTTTTTATTAGAATTATTTATCTAAATCTTCAACTCGTTTTCTATAACATGTTTCGAAACACCATCCTGACATTACAAAATTCGAATTTTGATTGACTTGCCCTCGTCATGGCAGCGCAGCGTTGCGCGATGATTCGTTTTGAAGGTGCAGCTGCTTTGCCGACTTTCTGGATTGTCGCGTCCGGCCGCTGTCGCCTGAATTGCGTAAAAGCAAATCTCCTTACGAGAGGGCTCATGTACACGGCCGTGCGATACCGTACACCACAGCCTTTTATTCCGCACGAAGTGACACACCTACGTGCCGCTTTATTCAGGAACACACATAGCTGGAAGTCTCGACCGGCGACCTACCGCAAAGCCGTATTATGTATTTCGACGTGTTGGATTTACATGCTATCCATCTTTCGGAAACGGGCTACATTTTTTCAGTCTCTAGGTCTAATAAGCCACTGAATAGATGGTGATTTTCTCACGTCCATGTCCCACAATTGTTCGCAGACTTAGGTCAGTTTACTTCTGCAAACATCAAACAGGCAGAACTAAAATAAATATACGATATAAAAAAAGTTTATATCACATTTTCTGCAGATGAATCAGTAGAAACCTCTAAGAAATGTCAAAACGACTGTTGCTTCTTGCATTGGATAGAATGAAATAAATTGCATATTATGAAGAACGAAAATGTCAAGAACGTTCATTCACTCGATAGTAATGATATTATTATCACATATTTTAAATAACTGACAATTTCCGAGTGCGCTAATCTCCAGTGGGTTGTTAATAATGAATGAAATACTTAAACGAGGAGAATGCAGTTTGGTATTGTATTGGAATCATTCTCAGAATTTCTCTTCTGATTTAAATGGAAGCGTATATTTATAATGTTTGCGATGGTATTTGAAACGCAAGTCACCCTCGCGACTCTTAAATGATTTCGCTTTCTCCGATGCCAACCACCGCGAAACGTACTTCCTCCTTCTACAGCTGGGAGCGAAAAATAGAAGTGAACAAATCACGAGAGGGTGATAGACCCGCGAACGAGAGCACTCTGAGTTGTGTACCTATTTTTATGACGATATTACGTTTGTAAGAAAGACGAGAGGGAGATATCGAAGTAGGAGGCACAGGAAGCGGTCTATCTAGTGAATACTGAACTTTGATTGAAACGAGTGCGATACTGAATCTTACACGACAGAGATTTTATTGCCTGCGTCGAGAGTCGATAAGATACTTGACAAGAATTTTTATGGGATCGACGTCCATTTGTGTATGTCTAATTAAGCTAGAAAACGTGATGTAAAGAAAAGCATGAGAGTCTTCGTAGATTTAAACAAATTCAGTCAACTAATTACAGTAGAACCCCAATTTTTGGAACACTCATTATTGAAACGTTCTTTTATCAAAAGTGTTAGTTCAGTTCTTTATTCTGCCTTAAATTCTTTCTTCTTTATGTTCCTGATGTGAATGTATGTAATATTGTATATTCTACACAATGTTTTTTTTTTTTATTAGAATTATTTATCTAAATCTTCAACTCGTTTTCTATAACATGTTTCGAAACACCATCCTGACATTACAAAATTCGAATTTTGATTGACTTGCCCTCGTCATGGCAGCGCAGCGTTGCGCGATGATTCGTTTTGAAGGTGCAGCTGCTTTGCCGACTTTCTGGATTGTCGCGTCCGGCCGCTGTCGCCTGAATTGCGTAAAAGCAAATCTCCTTACGAGAGGGCTCATGTACACGGCCGTGCGATACCGTACACCACAGCCTTTTATTCCGCACGAAGTGACACACCTACGTGCCGCTTTATTCAGGAACACACATAGCTGGAAGTCTCGACCGGCGACCTACCGCAAAGCCGTATTATGTATTTCGACGTGTTGGATTTACATGCTATCCATCTTTCGGAAACGGGCTACATTTTTTCAGTCTCTAGGTCTAATAAGCCACTGAATAGATGGTGATTCAATTGAATTTCTTATTAGTTATTTAGACATATATCATCAATTAATGGACATGCATGAACAAATATTAAATTAAAATAATAGACGACCACGCGCTTTATGTTATTGCGAATATTAAAAACAGTAATTAAATTGTTATTCAGAAGGAACAATTAATTGTTTCTCTCTCTTCCTCTCTCTCTCTCTCTTTCTCTGTGAGAATTTTATATAGTGGATAAACTCCATTTCAAAGCACGCTTCACCAAGTAGATAATTAGTAAGCTNAAATATCATACACAGATATTACAAGAACACTGATTTATAATGCTCATGTCGCAATAGCGCAGTCTCTGTTGATTGGAGTACGATAAGGTACAATACTTAATGTTTTCACACTTCAATCAGAAAGATACCTGTAGCGTGGATCGCGTATCTAATCTTGAATATTGAACGGAGAGGTGCCAAATAGATTGTGAATGAACATACGTAGTTTAGTGACATCTTATCATTGTAAAACATACATCATCTCATTCTTTCATCATTCATCTTATCCATTCATCCGTTATTATTTATACAAGATAAGTGAGTGACATGTTTTTATCGATATACGATAAAATTCTCGTGGAAAAATAGAAACTATTGTCGGATACAAAATCCGAAGGACAAAGCACTTAAAACAGAGCAGCGAGATCAGAGCGACTGATAAAAATTCCTCAAGTTCCAGGACAGCGATCGATCGTTTCGCGTTATTCCATGTGATCGCGAATAAATTCCTGCCTCGTTTAAACCACTTCTTCCCTCAGGGATGTCCATTTTCCCTTGTCTCGCAGTTCCATCGCGACGCATTCCAGTCGCGCTGCGCGACACACGCTCACGAGTTTTTCAAGTCCATGTCAGCCAAGGTATCTCGTTCCGTATAATGAAGGGCAGAACGTTTTCGTCGTGGTCGCCACTTTTTTGAACGAGGCCTTCATTCACCGAATGAGCAGGGTCGTACTTACCAAACAGAGAGCTATCCAGCCCAGCTAATGATCACAGTATATTTTTTCATGTAAAACACGGATCAAAAATTTTTTTGTTCGAAACGAGCTCATCTCAAGTTCGACTTTCGTTGCTAATAATCCTAATAATTATTAATTAGGAACACTTTAATTCATCGTTAGTTGTGTGCAGTTTTAATAGGGTATTTCCGGGAGAGATGGATCATGTTTTTAAAAATGTTTAAAGACATTCTCAGGAAATGTTACTAATCAAAACTTATTTTGTTTCTTTACAGAAATCGAAGCGCAGGAAGCTTGCAAATGGCTGAGGGCGGCAGGTTTTCCACAATATGCGCAGATGTACGAAGGTAAGTTGAGTTTTAATCAATCTTTTAACTATTTTATTAACTAAACACATGGAACGTAGATTCTTCGTTGTACTATTTTCAAATATGCAAATGGCATGAGAAACAAATGGGACGCCCCGTGGCAATTCTATTGTATATCCTATGCACAAAAGCAACGATGCTTATCGTTTATCACATTACATTAACGAAAATAGGAAACCATAAAAGGGTAGACAATACGAATAATTTACAATTATATTACTACTCCACAATCATTCTGAGCTATAGAATAGAACATGTTCTCGATAAAATCTAAATCTTCAACATTTAAACCTTTGTAGCGTTCTGAAATATGTAATGAGAATCAAAGGATATCTCCACGGGGAAAGGGTTCGTTATTTCCAACAGTTCCAATTTGCTTTCAATTTACCGTGCGATAATCGATTCCATGGAAAATCCTCTTTAGCGTCTCTACTTTCGGAGCACATTGAAAACTTGTCACCTGTCGCGTTGTTCAGATCGAGATAGATTATCCTCATAAGTTTGTCGAAATTCGAGCGCTTCTTCTTGCCACTGTGACCATGTGGTTCTTTTCACTCCCAGGGGCAGAGATCTCCATCTTGCATTTTCAGCTAGTCACGTATGGCGACAAATACGTCGCGTTGTCCGGAAAAGGGGTGCTTTTTTAAAGACGGTGGTGTCGTTTTACGGGACTCTAAACGGACAATACTGATTCTCAGAAATTCAGTTTTGTGTAAAATTGTATATAACTAAATTTACTGAGGAAGGATTTTTACAATCAGTTTGGACACATGCATAATATACCTATATGGTTTATAACGGACAATTTCTGTAATAGAATTATGACAGAACTGATTTAAAGAATTATGAAGATAACCCTGGATTCTCATAATAGTAATATTATTACTAAGTACGAATCATTTTATAAGTTTTGGACAAATTAATGTCGTTGGGATACAATTCATGTAAAAGAATTTGGTTCCAATGAAAAATCGCATGTGTTAAGAGCACACCCACCACGCTGGTCAATATGTTTTAAAACAACAATAAAAAAAAAAGTAAACTGAAGTTTAGGTAGCCTTTTAGAAACGTGAAGAATCGTTAGCCCGAGAGGGTGGTCCACGGACCACCAAAGCAGACATATTCTTCATATGTTTTCGATGGCTGTCCAACGCGTGTGAGATTTTTACTAATATCCATGACTTCGGATACAAAGGTCTCCCTGTCTCGTGTTTCATTCTTTTTTCCATCTCAGCTCCATAATATTATAGTATTTTCAAGATCTCATTGTTCAATTAATTGGTCGTACAAGAGGCAAAGAAATAAAGCGAGTTTTATATCTACTGCTAACAATAATTATTTATTAAAGCCATAGTACAATTACTCCATTCGTACTTCTACGTTATTAATATATACAGTTCAATATTGGAGCTTAAAATTACTCTGTTCATTTTAAACGAAATATCCTACTGTTTGCGCTCGATATTTACAGTAAAATTCCAAGTTATATCCTGAAAGTTAAAATTGAAATATCAAATAGAAATAAGATAAATTCATGTAATCCTGGTTGCTCACTAAGTTAAGGCAGTAGTTAAATTACTTCTGTTTTCTATATACAATATTAAATATCTTAGTCAACTGTGAGAGGGATCGAATATTTATGGACTTGACTGCATAATATTAATACAACCTCATTTCATGATCAGAGCGATCTAAATGTAACTTTTCTATTTTCAAAAAGCTTTTATAAGAAGGAAAATTCTAAACCCATGTTCTTAGTAGGCAACATTGACAACTGTCTAGTTGTCGGATTTTTGTGCAAAATCATATCTTTTGAAACATATTGTATTTTGAAAAATATAATTTATTTATACAGATTTTTCATTTTTGTAATTCCATAACGTGAGGTTTACATTAATTGTCTTATATAATTTTCGAGATTATAATGGTTGTATTTTTTTTCTATAATTACATAAAAATCTGCGATCTGTTAATGACACTGCCTATCACTATCATCGAAATCTACTCCGTTAAGATTGCAAATCATCATTCCAAGGCAACAATTAAGCTACTGTGAAATAACAAGTAAGTTTTGGATAAGCCGTCGTAGATTTCAAAATTGCATATCCTCGGTCAGAGTTATATCGGTAGACCAGAGCCAAACAAGTAAACAGCAGAGTGAAACTATGACTCGTTAACGACGCGGTGAAAACGTCGGTTACTCCACCGCTAGCGCAAACGCAACCGACGAGAACACGCGATCGCGCGAGAGCGCAATAACAAACGCATTGTTGGACGGCGCCGCGACAAAGGGCCCATTATGATAAGTATTAACATGTCCAGACGCATCAAGCAGCTCTCCTTTAATAAGTTACTCTCGCTTCCCGTTACGATTCGACTCGGTCGGCCCACGTGTCACTCGTTTACCGCATGTCTCTCACCGCTTCTCTTCGGCTACTTCACGCGCTACCGGATAAGATTTTTTATGAGAAAATCCGTTTTAATATCAGTGAAATTTTGTTATGGACATGAAGATGACTTAACATTTTATATTCAGAATTATTATCTATTTACATATTCTTGTTTTATTTTATCTCTATTTAAGCAGGACTTTAATTTGTCAGTACATTAACAAAAATTATCAATAAATTATTAAAATAATTACAATATTATCGATGTGAATCTCGAAATTTCTTTAGGCTCTTTAATTTCTCCAGTAACCCACATACGTAAGTATCACCCGTCGTCTCCCTTTCGATCTCACGCTTTCTGGTCCCTTTCCCTAAAGAATCTCGCGTATACGCATGTTAATCAGTAAGCAAACGTTGCTAAAGTGGAACACGCAAAACGAAGCCCGCACCTCATTCACTTTCTTTCATCCGGATGCGTATCACGGATATCGGATACGGTATCATGTTCGAGGTAAAACAAAGTTGCTCTCAACCTGCTATAGACTAGCCGGGTGCGTGTCAACAGGTCGCGTGATAACATTGAGTCCAAGTGTAATAGCACCTACGCTGACCATGTACCAGCGAAAGGGTCTAATAACTCGTGTTCCGCGGTCATTAACGTCCTTGGGTCGGCGAATAATCTCAGGTCTTTCCTCAATTTCAAGGACCAATGCAAGAATAATAAGCAGTCGGACGTCAGCCAGTGATTAACGAGCACGCCGATCTTTTGGCAACGATTACGGCGAAACGTTGCCAATTTATGCCCGAACACAGACTGTCGAATGGCTAAATAATATAATATAGTAGAACCCCCATTGTCGGAACGATCTATTAATACATTGACTGTCATGTCACCCAAATTCAATGGGCTGCATAAACGGGATTAGGGTGATGAATGCATTTGCTATTATTTAGCTGTGGTATTTCGGAAGATAGTTAATAGGATGTAGGATAGAATAGTGAAATATGAAAATATATTAGTATAAACTGTTATGTTTCTGATATTTGAAAAATATGGAAAAGGATGTGATACAGTTTTTCTACTCATGTAGGCTATGTTAAACAGACATGAGCTAATGAAATGTTTTAACTAATTCTTAAAAAGTATTCAAACCAAGCAACCTTTTAAATTCTGTGAAGACATAGTAAACAACAACCGCGTTTAGGAAGTTGGCAAACAACCGTGAGTATTGTTCGTTTACCTCGAAATGGTGCGTGTTCGCGCGATACGCGGCCGAGCGTTCAGCCGTGCAATGAAAAGCGGTCTGTTAGATGGTATCCATCCATCGCTAATTAGTAGACACGTGGATTAATCATGAATCGCATGTAACTGCTGGCCGGTAACTACAGAAAATGTTCAGTCATGCCTCTTCTGTTTCTATTACAATAATCAAATGAGCCGATGCTCCAAAAAACGTTTACTTTTTCATTGTGTATCTTACATAACATCTTCGAAGTTGATATTATTTCAACTTTAAAATACTTCTAAAACGTGTACTAATACTTATACAGAATTACAAAAT